GACCTGAGCCGAAGGCAGTCGCCCAACCAACTGAGCCACCCAGGCGCCCAGAAGGCTTTATTTTTAATTATTTTCCAACACCTGTTCTATGGAAAACAGTGGACATCAAAATTTCCAGGGGCCATCCAGACGGGTCAGAAAGCCTCAGGACATCTCCCCAATCATCCTTCCTTGCAGAAAACAGACAGAGAGACCCTTGGAGGAGGAGAGGAGAGAAGAAGGGTCTCTCTGCTGGTCAGCATGTCCACTTACTGCAGCACAGAGAGGGTCCGGTTGGCAGCCAAGGCCTCAGCCACAGACCTGGCACCATTATCCCTGATCGAGTTGCTCTGGAGGCTGTGGAGGCAAGGAAGAAGTGCATCAGCAAAGGCGTACATGAGGGTGCCCAGTGGTGGCCTTAACCTCTACGGCAATGTTACCAAGGCCCAAGGCATGGACGGGGGGGCAGCTGTCTGCTTCATGCGCTTACTGCCCACCACACAGGATTTGGGAAGAGTTGGTTCTTCCCAGTGCTGCTCTGGCCTGAGGATTCCCTCTGGGTTTCTAAGCATTCTTCTGTTGACTGAGAACAAGGTGCCCAAGGCATCTGGATAACAATAACTAGGTTATCAATAGTCCTAATTATAGCTAAAAGCCACAGCATCCAAGTGTTAACAGGGATGTGGAAAAATTGGAACCCTCACCCATTGCTGGTGGGAATGTAAAATGGGGCAGACCTTGTGGAAAACAATCTGGCAGTTCCTCAAAAGGTCAAACAGAGTTACCACATCACACAGCAGATTCCACTGGTCGGTGTCTGCCCCAAAGAAATGAGGACAGGTACTCAAATGTATGTGCATGAATGTGTGCAGTAGCATTATTCACAAGAGCCAAAAGGTGGAAACAACCCACATGTCCATCAACCGATGAATGGGTGAATTGTGGTCTGTCCATACAGTGGAGTATGACTCAGCCATAAATAGGAATGAAGCACTGATACCTGCCACAATGTGGCTGAACCTTGAAGACATGACACTCAGCGACAGGAGCCAGACAAAAGGGTCTTATTGAAGGATTCTATATATAGGAAATCTCCAGAGTAGGTAAACGTAGACACAGAAAGCAGCAGTCCCTGGTGGCTGCCGGGGTGGCGAGGGGCACGGAGAGTAGAGAATGGGAAGTGATTGCTAATGGATACAGGGTCTACTTTTAGGTGATGGAAATATTTTGGAACCTGATAGAGGTGATGAATGAACAACTGTGAATGTGCTGAGTGCCATTGAAATGTATACTTTAAAATGGTGAATTTCACCCCAGTAAAAATAAATAAATGAAAAAACAAATGACAATACACACTCAACTAAGGATGGATACAACCACAGGCCCCTAAAAGCACAGCAAACCACAGCAAACCATAGGAATATTCTGGAAGATGGGCTTTTCATTGTCTTAGAAAACACCTCAGCGGAACATTCTGACACCATGGCCTTGGGGGTTTCCCACTCAATGGAGGACCAGAGGTTTTCCTCATAGATTATCTTGCCTTTCCATTTCTGTACAACCCCATCATCCTCCTCAATCCCCTGATTTGGCTGTAAACACAGGGACAATGACCAGGGAAGAGCTGAAACCTGAAAGTTGTGTAGGATACAAGATCATGTAGTATCCACCTAGATGGGAGCCAGTATAGCATGCCCACCATTTTGAATCATCTCCCACTCCATGGTTGGCACCTGGGAGAGGGTTTTCTGGGTCCTCTACTGGTTACACCGGGACAGGGAGCAGATGGAACATACCTCAGAAAAGCCAGAGTGCGGTTAATCTTCAGAGCATCTGCCAAAGCCTTCGCCCCTTGAGGTCCAATGGAGTTACTGCGGAGGCTGGCGGAAGGAAGAGAGAAAAAGAACTATTTTTTGTTTGTTGGTTTGTTTGTTTGAATCCAAGTCCCAGGGAGGGAAAAAAAAGAACAGAAATTACATGACCTTTAAATCTATGCTCCTTGAAAATAATGTACTGGGGTTTAAGATTTCATGTTTTGCCGAGATCCTTATTTAGGTGAACAAGTAAGGAATTTCTCAGTATGGCCCCATGTGATGGGGCGAAGAAAGAAGGATTTGATGGACTTGGCTTGGGCCAGGTGTGGAGAGCAGGGAGAATAACGCCAGCTTCAGGGCCGAAATTCTGGTGCCTCCCTGGGCCGGTCCCAACAGCTGAGGAGGAGCCAGGATTTTGCTTGCTCAGCTGTCCTTCCACCCCACCCAGGGGAGAGTGTGGTCCAGGTGACTTCATGAGATGGCTCACAAGCTGTCCGTGGCCCAATGGTGGAAGGTTGGCCTCTGTGTCCTACTTACTCCAAAGCAGTCAGACTTCTGTTGACCAGGAGGGATCTGGCCAGAGCTTTGGCCCCTTTGTTACTGATCTGGTTCTCAGCCAAGCTGTGCAAGGAGAAGGAGAGGAATGGTTATTGCAGGTCTGTAAATCTCATTGCCTCTTCCTCAACACCAGGCTTGTGATCCAAACCTCTCGGTTTCACCAGCATCATGAGGCCCTGAACACAGGTGGAGATGAGGTGAGCCCTGGAGCGGAAGTGCCCAGCCCAGGAAAGCCTCTGAGCCAGGTAAGGTAGGGCCAGAGTGGGGGGACAGACCCTCACACGGGCAAAGAGTCACAGGGCAGAGTTTGGCCAGAATCTGGCACAGAAGCTTCTATACCAGCAGTGCCGCAGAGAGCCTGGGCAGTTACAGAAATCTCCCGGGGAGATCCCGCGCAGTGGTGTGCTGCAAGAAACAAAATACAGAAACACTGACGTGTAGCATTGGCCAATTTCCGTGGTGTAAACACTCTCACCACGGCCAATTTTAAGCACTCCCAGCTTACAGAAGTTCCTAAAACTTGAATAATCTGCTCTCATGAACCCAGTGGCCGAATTCATGGTTCTGGCTCACCACTGGCCCCAGCCGTTTTTCTAATGCAAGAAAGGAAGAGGGTACTTATTACAGAACTAACTTGAAAGTAAAACAACCCAAAACCAAAAAACACTTGCGTCTGACATAAAAGGGTGATTTCAGGAATAAGCTGGTGGATCATGTTGCTTCATGGACCCAGTTTCAAAAATGGTGGCTGGTTGAGGTTCTCTACAGTTTCTTAGGCATTTAAAACTGTGGAGCATCCCCAGGGGATACAGTTAGAATCCCCAGTGCTTTTCAAGCTGTGTTTCAAGGGCTCCTGGTGTTCCTCAGAAAAGCCTCAGGAGCCCCTAGAGGCTGAGGAGGAACCAAGCACCCCTCTTATTTCAATCCCAGCAGCTCCCAGTTGCCCATCTCTTACTGGGGTCCTGCCTGATAGACCACTTTTAAAAAGGGTTCTGTTGCTTAAACTTTGAAGACCATTCATCCAGACCACCTTCTATATAAATGTTCTCGAGTTCTAGAGCACCTCTGTCCCCCTCCACCCAGGACTTCTATAAAGTTTTATAAGTAATATTTCATGAGCCATGTGTGTATTCTGAACGGTGCCTTGGGCATTTTACACAGGGATGTGGCCCTGAGGACCAACTACAGGGAGGTGAAGAAGAGCATGTGGCCATCAAAGAAATTTGGGACTTTTGTTCAGAAAATATTCTGAGCGTTATCCAGACTCCTTTATGCAAAAACACTGGAAGTTGACTATTTTGCTGAAGGCTCCCATGAAGGAATAAATAATGAAAAGTTGTCATTAGCGTGTTTCTGTCAAAGGGATTGCATTTATATCTCTGGCTAACAAGTCAGAGAATCCTGCTTAGAACAGCTGGCCCTTGTACAGTCTGTGCCTGGCCTGTCCTCACACTTCCCTTGCATTAACCTGTTGGAGCTGCTCGACAACCTGAAGAGGTAGTTAGTGTGCAGGAAAGGGTTAACCTCGCCCCCAGTTCCTGAAAGCTGACCTCTGTTTACCAGGGGGACTTGGGGCCCCACAGTAACAGCTTGACCCCTGGAGGGGCTTCCCTGTGGGCAGTGAGGTATGTCTCCATGCCCAGCCCCCCATGAAAACTGCCCACAAGCCCGGGTGAGCCTCGCTGCTGGGAATGCTTGGTGGTCACCGGGAGAGGGAGGCACTGTGTATATGACCACACTGGGAGGGACAAGTGAAAGCCCGCCTGGTCTCCCCCCGGCCTGCCCCACGCACCTTCCCTCTGCAGATTTTCATCTGTATCTTTTTGGTGTGATGAACCACAATCGTGGGTACAAGAGCTTTTCTGAGTTCTGTGAGTCCTTCTAGTGAATCATTGAACCTGAGGAGGGCCATGGGGACCCCTGGACTCACAGATACTGTTTTTACCCCATTTTTATCCTCTTTAGGCAGGGAAGTGACAGTACAGGGCCATATAGGGCCCACCAGTCTCTCACCACTGTCCTCGGTGACTTGTTTTTGCTCCTGACCCGTTCCATGTTTGTTTTTGTTTTCTCAGATAAAGATGATTTCAGAACCCGGAGGGAGGCTTACATGAAGATGAAGAATTCCTCTCTGGATCCTATGCTCCAAACTCATCTCCCTAGTTCTAGCTACCCCAGATCATCACATCAGCTCAGCTCCAAACCCAGGTGTTACTCAGACTCAGAAATGTTATCACAAGAAGAGATTTCACAAACACAAAAATCTCTTCTGCCATCAGCATATAGACTTTTGTCTATTTACAACATTAAAGATGCAGTGTTTAAATTGTATTTTTTGCATTCATTTAAATAAAAGTTTAAATTTAAACTCATTTTTTAAATTAAAAACTTTAAAATTTGATTTAAAGATGTGATCCCGTGCCTCTGGTACTGTTTTGGGGGCCAACTTTGAGAGGAGCTTGGAGAAGACTGGGCCTGGCACCACATCAGAACATAAGAGTATTCAGAGACATGCTTCCATGTCCATGATAGCATCTGACCCTCACCCTATCCTTTCCCTCTTCTCACAGATGAGGTACCTGAGCCTCTGGAACTTTCTGGAATGGGCAGAAACAAGCAGCGTGTATCCTGAGCCACATGCTTCAAAGGCACCTCTCCTTGAAAGCACCCCTGGCCGGTTGAGCAGAGAGGAGGAGGGGAAAGGAGCCCCAGACCCTGTGCAACAGGTGAGCATCCCGGATCGGGTCTCCTGGGTCAGCGTTACCTGATCCTCTGAATGCGACAGTCCTTCCCACTCAGCACGCTGCCCAGCAGTTCCATCACGGGGTCCTGGAACTGGTTGTTGTCCAGCCTGCGGAAGGAAGAGCGATGATGAGTGGTATCAGTGCCCGCAAGCAGGTGGAGCAAGGTGCTGGCAAAGGGCCGGCATCACGGCCACAGAGGCACCCAGGCCGACGTTTCCATCGTGCTGCAGCCCCCGCTGTGTGGCTCAGGGGTTTGTGCTAGCACACCCACCACGCTCAGCATTTTCCCGCGAGGGTGGACTGGGAGGCTCAGTGTTTCGAGCCCCAGCATCCCTACCCGGAGGGGTGTCTTCCCAACAGCCCCTCACACCCTGTGAGTCTATGGGACACGGGTTGTTAGCTCTCCTCCTCCTGAGGACGTGGCACCTGCTCTCAGGTCCGGAATGGCCCTGGTCTTACAGCCTTCCTAAGGTCCAGAGCACTGGGTGGACTCTGGGCTGGGGGTGGGGTGAGTGGGTGTGGCGTCTGTCAGCACTGGGATGGTTCACAGGGTGTTGGAGGTTGAATTGTGTTCCCCAGAAAGATAGGTGTTCTGACCCCCCAGTGCCTCAAGAATGTGACCTTATTGGGAAATAGAATCATTGTGGATGTAATTAGTTAAGATGAAGTCATTCTGAGCGGACTAGGCCTGCAATCCCACATGGCTGGTGTGCTCAGCAGAGGGAGCACTACACGAAGACAGAGACACAGAGGAGGAGTCCATGTGCCACAAAGACGGGAGTGATGTGTGGACAAGCTGAGGATGCCAGCAAACAGCACACACTAGAGAGGCAGGAACCGTGTTCCCCTACAGGTTTCAGAGGGAGCTGAGCCCTGCTAACAACTTGATTTTGAATTCTGGTCTCCTGAGCTGTGAGAGAGTAAGTTTCTGATGCCTTAACCCATCCACGTTTAACCCATCCACGTTGTGGTCCTTCTTTATGGCGGCCCCCGGATGCTGACCCAGGGGCGCGTGGTGGAAGGGACGAAGCTTCCGGGGCCTCTGCCCCCCCACCCCGCACACCTGGCGCAGCCCGGCCCCAGCGCCCACCTCAGGCTCCGGCAGTACAGCAGCTGGGGCAGCAGGCTCTGGAGGACGCCCTTGCTGAGGCGCAGTGACAGGTTGGCCTCCCGGGTGCAGGCATCCGACACCTGCAGGAGATAGGCCAGGGCGGCGCGGTGCTGGGGGCCGGTCAGCGCTGCCAGGCCCCCGCTCTCCATGGCCTCCTGCACGCTGCGGGCCAGCTCCGTGTGCTGCAGCTCGTGCAGGCAGTGCAGGATGTTGACCGCCCGGGCACAGACGGCCACGTTGGGGCGTAGGCAGCCCTGCAGGAGCTCCGCCACCTGGGCCCGGTAGCCCTGGTGCTCCCCCTGGGCCAGCAGGGAGCCCGCCAGCAGGGCGTTGACCTTCGGAGACAGAAGTCCTGAGAGGAAGCGCAAGAACACATCCAGCCGCCCGTCCTCGGCCTGCATGGCCCGCTGGGCCGCACTCCGGAAATGGGTGAGGAAGCCGAGGCGGGGCCAGGACACGCCGCCCTCGGTGAAGAGGTCAAAGATGGCCCTCTTGGACGCACTGTAATAGTACGCGGCCGCCACGAACTCCTGCAGGGACAGGTGGGTGAAGCAGTAGGCTGTCGAGGAGGCCAGGGTCTCTTCCCGCCGCAGGAAGCAGCCGCACAGGGCGCTCTGCAGCAGGGCGAGATCCACGCCAAACGCCTTCAGGTCCTGCTCGTAGAACACGTACTTCCTCCTGACCAGCCCATGGAAGGCCAGCCGACCCAGAGTTCCCACCATCTTGCGGCTGCTGTGGGCCACCTGCTCGATGCGAGGGCTCGCCTTGCCCTTCTCCTGCCCGTCCCCACCGAGAGCCATCCTGAAGTACCAAGAGTAGAGCTCGCACAGGGTCCTTGGAGTCCACGGCTCTGCGTCCTGGGGCCCCAGCTTGCTGCGGTTCAAGTGACCCAGTGCCGACCCTGCGAGCCGGCAGAAGGCCGGGACCGTGCACATCAGGTACAGGGCCCTGTCTGCCTGCACCCGCCTCAGGACCCAGTCTGAGAGGGCGTGGTCCTCGGGGAACATCTCCTCCAGACACACCTTGATCTCTTCCTCGGTAAAGCCCCGGATCTCTGTCATCCGGTCCACCAGGCCCCCCGGGATCTGGCCAGCCACGCCAGGGCGGGAAGTGACCCAGACAGAAACTTCCGGGAAGAGGTTGCCTCGGATGATGTTGGTGATCAGATGGTCCACCTGGATCTCCTTCTTGGGGTCTGTGCACGCCACAGTGTTGGAGAAGTCCAGAGGCGTCTTACATTCATCCAGGCCGTCCAGGATCAGGAGGATATTGGGTAGGGCTGCTGCCACCAGGCCAGACTCCCCAACGTGCGGGAAGACAGAGTGGATGAGTCTGTCTGCAGACAGCTTCTCGTGGGTGTTGAGATCTCGGAAGGTCAAAGGTAGCACCAGGGAGAAGTCCTTGCCGACCTGTCCCCGGGCCCAGAGGTGGACAAAATTCCTCACCAGGGTGGTCTTGCCCACGCCAGCTACCCCGATGGTGATGGAGATTCGGGGTGGGATAGACACCCGAGACAGAGGCAGGAAGAGTCTGTCCAGGGCGATGGTCTTGGCCGGGTGCCAGCCCCCACGTGTGGTCTCCACCTGCGTGAAGTCATGTTCCTTCAGCTGCAGGTCTGTGAGCCCCTCCACCAGCAGGAGATTGGTCAGCCTGGGCGAGGGGCCGCTCAGCTCCGGGCTGCCCTTTGCCCTGTTCAGCAGAGCCTCCTGGCACTTCTGTATCCTTGAGTCTGTGGGACAGAGGCCAAAGGGGAGGGTTGGGGAGGGTGGGGGAGGGGAGGGAGGGGTGAAGGGGGAGGGCCGGGAGACACCCTCCCATCTGCCTACCATCACTGTGTGGCGTCCTGTCTGTGGTCTGTGGGGCCTGGGAGCCCTGACTGCTCTTCCCGGCCAGGAGGTCCACGAGGGCTTTCACCTGCCCTGCCGGGGAGCTGGGGCCTCGGCCCTGGCCTGCCTCCCCACCCGTCCGCACCTCCTGCTTCCTCATGGAGTCCAGGGTTGCCACCAGGAGCTGTGAAGAGAGGGCCTGAAGTGCTGTGTGCCGTGTCACTACCCTGGCCTGGGACAGGTGAGTGAGCCTCCAGGGATGGGGAGGCATCCACTCTCTGTCCTTCCCCAGACTGCTGGTGGCCCTCGGTCTGGCCTCCATGAAGGGCTTGGAAGTGCTGTTTGTTCCCAGATGGTGAGAGGGGCCCCTGATGCCAGGAGCATGGCTCAGACATGGGGGGCCAGTGGATCAGACCCAGGGCTAGTGGATCAGACCCAGGCCCGGGCTGTATCGTGAGCTCTGCCACTTACTGGCTGTGTGACGCTGGGCAGGCCGCCTGAGCTGCTGGTGCGGTGGTGTCCTCATTTGTGACCTGGAAATAGGAGGGTAAGGGCAGTTCCGCTCACACGAAAGGGCGAATGAAGGGTGGATAGGTGGAGCCCAGGGGCCTCTTAGGACAGTGAAGCCACTGTGCATGGTCCTACAGTGGTGGGTTCGTGCCATGGTGCGCTTGTCCAAACTCCTACAGTGGACATCGCCAGGAGTGTTGCTGTTTATCTCAGTGTTTCCCTGGGTCTCCTGACCCTCAGCAGCGCTGTTTTCCGCAGCCACAACGAGGTGGAGCACCTGCTCACATTCCTTTTCCTCTCTGAGGATTTGAGTGAATCCCGTAGCCAAGGCTGGCCGCCCCCATGTGTCCCTCCCTCAGCTAAGGTGGACACTGGAGGACCCCAAGCCCACCCTGCCCTCTTCCTCTCCTCACCTGCAGTGGGTGGGATGTCCAGCCCATGGCAGCCCCTCCGCTGGGCCTCACGAACTCAGGGGATGGGGGTCGGCCATCCCTCGTCCACAGGTCTAGGAGAGAAAACAGGACACAGCACTGGGCAGAGGTCCCAGCTAGTGCTCCAGGTGGCAAGAGCTCACTGAGATGGGTCTGACCCATGCCTCCCAGCCCTGTGGTTCTCTGGGTCTCAGTGACAGTCACTTACGAGGGGTCAACTGGCTGAGCCCCAAGGGTGCAACAGACTCCCTGACCTTGTATTTGCATTGGGCTTTCCTAGCGTTTTAACTCAGGATGAACCTTTTTACCTGGAAAATGCTGAAAGAAGCTCAGCAACAAGTAAAATAGCATTTTCCAGCATTTTCTGTTCATAGCACTGTTGAAGAACTAACTAGCGCAGTGAATTCAGGGTAGATGGTGTCCAGCCCAGCCAGGGGAATCTGGGAGCGTTAGTAGAAGGCCAGGCAAGGCCACGCTCCTTATACTTCCTCAGATCCTCTCACTGTTCTCACGCTTTTGTTCTAAGTGTCAAAACCGAGGAGAGTAGAAACCAGTTTTGGACTGAAATCGCGTTAATGTATATAGACTGGTGTGGGTGTCATTGGTCTTCCTTTAGATCCTTTAGTAAAACTATTTTCCCTCATGTGGATCTTGCCAATCCTATTTGTATTTAGATATTTTTAAAGATTTTTAAATTTTTATTTATTTATTAGAGAGAAGCGAGAGCGAGCATAGGCAGGGGGTGGGGGAGGGGCAGAGGGGGAAGCAGGCTCCCCGCTGAGCAGGGAGCCCGATGTGGGGCTCGATCCCAGGATCCCGGGATCATGACCTGAGCTGAAGGCAGACACTTAACTGACTGAGCCACCCAGGTGCCCTGAGGAAGGCTTTTTTTAAGCAAGACATAAAATCTTGGATCACAAGGGGAAGACTAACAGACTTGCCTTAATTTAAAATTTCCAAATAACATTAAAAGCCATCAATCAAATTGAAAGAAAACCTCAAGCCAGGAGTCAACCTTTGCAATATACATGAAAGAGGACTGATATCCATGATATATAGAGAGCTCTTGTAAATCAATAAGAAATTAATAAGTAAACAAATAGAATTATTTGGATACAGACAGATACAGACAGATAATTATGGACACAGATAGAAATAGAGAAAAGGATACAGATAATTCATGGAAGTGTAAATGACCAAGACATTGAAAAGATGCTCATTTTCGCTAAAGATCAAGAAAAAAACAAAACAATGAACTATTTTTCATCTGACAAAGATTATAATGACGTAACAGGCTACATTGGTGAGAATGTGGGAGTGGTAGGAATTGTAACACAGAGTTGGTGAGAGGGTAAATTAGTATGATTCTGGATCATATTTTGCCATTATCTGTTGCTATTAAATATCTTTTGACCCAGAAGTTCCACTTCTGGGAATTTATCCCAAAGAAATAAGTGGATAAGTGCACAAAGATGTGACCACAAGGATGATCCTGCAGCATTCTTTGTAACAACAGGAAGTTGAATGGGAAATACCTAAATTTTTGTTCAAAGAGGTTTGGTAAAGTTATTGAGGCCCAATTATACAATGGAAAACTCTATGGCCATAGAAATTAATAAGGTCAAACTAGAAAAATGTTCACAGTGTATGTTTTAGCTATTAATGTCATAAAGATTTTAATCACCTTTTTGAGGTATAATTTATATACAAAAAATGCACCCATTTCAAGCATACAGCTAGATTAGTTCTGACAAACGTATACACCCCTGTAACCACTACCACAGTCTAACCTTGAACAGGTCTTCCTCCAAAAAAATCCCCTTGTGCACCTTTGCAATCTGTCCCAACCACAGCCCTCTGGCCCTGAGCCATCGATCTGCTCTTTTTCTCTAAGATTAGTTTTGCCTTTTCTAGGATTTCATATAAATAGAATCATACAGATCTACATAGGGTTTTTTTCATTTAAAAATTGTGGTAAAATAGGAGCGTCTGTGCGGCTCAGTCGGTTAAGAGCCCCACCTCCAGCTCTGGCTCTTTAAAAAAATAAAGGTTTATTTTTTGAGAGAGAGAGAGTGTGTGTGCGTGAGTGTGAGGTGGGGAGGGGCAGAGGGAGAGAATCCTCAAGCAGACTCCTCACTGAGCGCAGAGCCCCATGCAGGGCTCCATCTCATGACCTGAGAGGAACACAAGAATCCAACGGTCAATCAGCTGAGCCACTGAGGCACCCCCTTGCTTTAAATTCTTGAGCGTATACCCACAAGTGGAATTTCTGGGTCACATGGTAATTCTTTTTTTAATTTTTTGAGGAACTGCCAACTTGTTTTCCACAGCAGCTTTACCATTTTACAGTCCCACAAAAAGTGCATAAGTGTTCCAATTTTTCCACTTTCTCACCAATGCTTGTTTTTCCTGTGTTTTTGATAGCAGCCATCCTAATGGATGTGAGGTGGTATCTCATTATAGTCTTGATTTGTGTTTCACTAATGATGAGTGATGTTGAGCATCTTTTCATGTGCTTAAATGCCTAGTTGGATATCTTCTTTGGGAAAATATCTATTGAAATCCTTTGCCCATTTTTACATTGGTTGTTTTTTTTGTTGTTGAGTTGTAAGAGTTCTCTATATATTCTGGATATTAATCCCTTATCAGATATATGATTTGCAGATATTTTCCCCCATCCTGTAGGGAAAAGTTCCCTTCTACTCTGTGTGTGGTGTCTTTTGATGCACCAAAGTGTCCAATGCTCATGAAGCCCAATTTGTCTATTTCCTCTTTTTTTACCTATATATACCTATACCTTTGGTGTCACATCCAAGAAATCATCACCAGATCCCATGTCATGAAGATTTGTGCTGTTCTCTTCTAAGAACTTTATTGTTTTAGGTCTTACATTTAGGTCTTTTATCCTTTTGGAGCTTATTTTTGTATATGGTATTAGGTAAGATAGGTAAGGGTCCAACTTCATGCTTTTGCATGTGGATGTCCAATTTTTACAGCACCATCTGTTAAAAAGACTGTCCCTGGGTGCCTGGGTGGCTCAGTTGGTTAAGCGACTGCCTTCGGCTCAGGTCATGATCCTGGAGTCCTGGGATCGAGTCCTGCATCAGGCTACCTGCTCAGCAGGGAGTCTGCTTCTCCCTCTCCCGCTCCCCCCTCTTGTGCTCTTTCTCTCTCTCAAATAAATAAATAAAATCTTTAAAAAAAAAAAAAAAAAGACTGTCCCTTCCTCATTGAACAGCCATGGCACCCTTGTCAAAAATCTTTTTACCATATAAGTGAGGGTGCGTTTCTGGGTTCTCTGTTCAATTCTGTTGGTCTGTATGTCTGTCTCTATGCCAATATCACAAAGTCTTGATTACTGTAGCTTTGTAGTAATTTTTGAAATTAAGAAGTGTGAGTCCTCTAGTTTTGTTCTTTTTCAAGACTGTTTTGGCTATGGGGGTCCCTTAAGATCCCATTTGAATTTTAGGATGGATTTTTCTTTTTTTTTTTTTTTAAAGATTTTATTTATTTATGTGACACAGAGAGACACAGTGAGAGAGGGAACACAAGCAGGGGGAGTGGGAGAGGGAGAAGCAGGCTTCCCGCGGAGCAGGGAGCCCGATGCGGGGCTCGATCCCAGGACCCTGGGATCATGACCTGAGCCGAAGGCAGACGCTTAACGACTGAGCCACCCAGGCGCCCCAGGATGGATTTTTCTATTTCTGCAGAAAATGTTATCGGGCTTTTAATAGAATTGCATTGGATCTGTAGATAGTTTAGGGTAGTATGGACATTTCAATAATATTAAATCTTCCAGTCCATGAACATGGGATGTGTTTCCATTTATTTCTTTAATTTCTTTCAGCAATGTTTTGTCACTTTAATTGTGCAAGTCTTTCACCTCCTTGGTTAAGTTAATTCCTAAGCATTTTATTATTTTGGATGCTATTTTGAATGGAGTTGTTTTTATAATTTCTTTTTCAGATTGTTCATTGTTTACATATAAAATTACAATTTCTATTTGTGTGTTGACTTTGTATTCTGCTACTTTGCTGAATTAATTTATTAGTTCTAAAAATTGTTTTGTAAAAGATCATATCATCTGCAAGCAGAGATGATTTTAATTCTTCCTTTCCAATTTGGATACCTTTTATTTCTTTTCTTGCGTAGTTGCTCTAGCTAGAATTTCCACTACTATGTTGAAGAGAAGTGGTAAAAGCAGGTATCTATATCTTATTCCT